ATATATATATATATATATATATGGATAGCTGGGAAAACTGTACCGCTGATGTCTGGTGGTTTATTGAAAGGAACAGTTAATGCTTAAAATTTTTTATATTTTGACCCATTTTGCATGCTTATATCTGATAATCTGAGCAACTGATCTGAAGACAACAATATGCAATAGAACAACCACTGGAGAATTCCTACCATCTTGTCTAGTGGAACTCTATATCATCTATAATTTTTTTTAATAATTATTCTTTATTCTCTTTAATGGTTTGAACAGTCTTCCATTCCGACATCTGGTAATCTGGGCAACTTCGTTGAAGATAACAATATGTCATATAGGCACCGCTGTTAATTCCTATCATTTTGTTTTGAAACCCTGTATCATTTTTAAAGTTCTTGCTTTGTTTTGTTTATGTCTGTGATGCTGGCATTTTGCAATTGTTCTTTTTTTTACTACTCTCTTTAAAATAAAAATTAAAAATAGAACAGAGTGACTTCTAGAGTGTCATCCTGGAGTGGGAGCACACAGAAGGGAGGGCGAGCGGGGAAGGAAGGCTCCCCTGCACAGTGGAGAGTGGATCTTGGGAGGCAAAAGCTCTGGGGGTGCAGGGAACAAAAGGTGAGAGATCAGGCGCTGCCTGACTGGCCCAGTGTACAAGGCAGAGGGCCAGCTGGGGGCACCAGAGTGAGAGAAGATGGCACTGACGATCCCATGAAGCCAAGGGCTGGAAGAATGGGCGTCGGGACTGAAAGAGCTCCAGGGAGGAGAGACAGAACAGATGATGGGAAAGCAGAGCTGCAAGTGCCCACTGTGGGTCCGTATGGGGGATAAGCACGTGCAAGGTGAGGGGCCTGAAGTGGACTTGGAGGTCCTGGAGGTCAAGGAGACAGAGGGAGGGAGGAGCGCCTGGAGGAAGAAGGAGCCTCAGGCTGAGGTTGCTGACTGGCCAGAAGCTGGCATCCACACGGAAATCACAGGCCACGGGACCTAGGTGGGCGCCCAGAATTGAATGCTGGGGGCTGCCCCAGAGAAGTAGGGACGGGAAGACGGCAGACCTCAGTCCCAGCCTCAGATCATCACACATGTTCACACCTTAAGAGTGACTAGGGCCACGTGGGCCAGGGCTCCACTGCCAGGTGCCATGCGGGGGGCACACACATCTTTGCAGCAGGAAACACTCCAGTCCATGCTTTAAAGCCCCTCTACCTTCTTTCTAGAAGCCCAATTTAAATTTTCAAAGACAGCAAAAAACGTTCCATACTAACCCCTTCACCAAACACAGTAGCAAGCCTGTAAATACAATGCGACCCCACATCGCCAGGTCTCCCCCAAGGGGAGGCTGAAGGAGAAACTTCCGCAGGGCTTCCACACAGGTACGTTCCTGGGGGACAGAGCCGCATTTTCTGAGACTGGGATGAAGTACCTGCTGTTACCAGCGTGTGGAGTCTTTCTCCAGTCTTTGAAAACCTGGATTATTTGCAAGAGAACTTTCCACTACCTCACTAACAAAGACCCAGACATACTTCAAAGCAGATGTAATATCAACCCCCACAAAAAAGCAGAGACTTTACAAGCATAAAACAACGGGACCTTGATGAATGGTGTGAATCAACTAACGGTCTCCGTAGCTTGATTTGATAATAGAAAAAAGAAAAGCAACATTCTTCTAGCCTTGGTAGATGCGCACAGCACTCATGCCACACTCCTTACAAGACCTCTGTGATGTGAGACACTGTTAAGTACTTGACAATATGCCCTTCAACTCTAAAGACCCGGTGAATCTGCAGGTCAGGCCCAGACTCTGCAGAGGATGCCACAGAAGACATGACACAGTTCACGTTCTGAAGCTCGGCACCTGCGGTGCAGCTCCGCTTACCTAGCATGTGCGGGCCCTTGGGCTCACCCCCAGCACCAGAGAAATGAAACAACTGAATTTCTAAGACTTTGCCATGTCATCAGCTCAAATAAACAGGTAAAATTTAAAATGAGTGTGGCGGGACACTCAGGAGGTTGAGGCAGGAGGCTCACGAATTGGAGGCCAGCCTCTGCAATTTAGCAAGACCTTGTCTCAGAAAAAGAAAAAACAGAAAACCACCTACCGAGGTGGCAAGTGTGACCGCATCCAGCTCGACTTTGCCCAGATGGCCGCAGAATATGGAGCTGACCACGCTGATGAGAAAGATCATCAGCTGCGCAAGGACCTGCGGGGACAGGAGGGGGCGGCTCAGGCCGGGTCCGCGGCCCCAGGGCAGAGCACCGGTGCGCCGCGCCGCCGCACTCACCACCGGGCCCGCCA